CCCCCCCTGATTCTTTCACATGTCTGATAGACAAATTGGATTAACAGCGATTGGATTAAACGGCGTATTAGGAGGATGAGAAAATGAGATGAATGTGCTGTGATCACAGCCTTTGATGTTTTAATGTTTTAATGTTCGTTTCCTTTTGTTCCACTTTATGACGAGTGAAAAGAAGAGAAGAGAAGAGAAAACCTGGAGGGTTCTCGTAGAACGGGCCGTGTTTCAGTCTCTCTGATTGATCTCGTTCGTCTCGATGATGTTTCATTTTAAACCTCGTTTCGTCCTCGTGGTCTTCGTCTCAGGGCGTCCATGTTCCGACTTTCTCGTGTCGCTCATGTCGTCGTGGTCAAACGGTTTTAACGTTAATGAACCAGACCGCGTCCAGGACCGTTTTATTCATATTTTCTCCTCCTCCTCTTCATCGTCACAGAAACACAAACTGATCCACGATAAAAAAAAAACGCTGTTTGGTTTTGTTTTGATTTCATTTTCTTTTAAATGACTTCAGGGCCACACACACACACACACACACACACACACACACACACGTTTGGTGTCATTGAAACCTGATCATGCACCGTGTGTGTGGTGTGTGTGTGTGTGTGTGTGTGTTGATTGTATCTGATGTGCTCCGTGACATTAATGATGATCAGTGTTGCTGCAGGTAGGGAATCCCTGTGTATCTCCATCAGACATATTTGACTTTAATCCTTTGATGTCCTGATCAGCCTTTGTACCGGAGCCAAACTCGCAGCCCGGCCCGGCTGAGGTGTTGGCCCGTTTCTGTCTCCGTGTCGAGCACAGAAATGGCATGTAAGGCGAGACGCGAGACCCAGAACGAGACCTGCCAAAAAGCAGCAGCTGCTTTGATCCAAGATGGCCGCCTGAGAGCCAGCGTGGCTTCGCGGCGTCTCGGAGCCAAGGCTGGATCCAGACGGCGTCGGAGCCTCAGCCACAGGGACGTTCACACTCTGCTGTTGTCGCTCACGACAGTTCAGTTCAGAGGAGTCGGCGCCGCAGCGGGATTAAAACCCAAAACACTCTGTTAGTGGGTTCACGCTGGGTCCTGGAAATCCTGGAAATCCTGGAAATCCTGGAAATGTGCTGATCTGAATTTTTATTTTTGATTTCTTTTAAAAATTCTAAATGTTATTTAGGCTCAAATATCATCATTAGATTTTAAATGTTTTATTCTTCTTTTAGGGAAAATTTCACTTGTTTTTTTTTTTTCTAATATTTAATTTGACTCCAGTTCCTGGTCTTTACTGTAAACATCGACGCCTGCTCAATATTTGCTGCTTAATATTTATGTGTTTAGTCAAACGTCTTTGTCTCTTCTAGAGGCAGGTGGTTTCTGTGGGTCAGAGTTGACGCCTGTAGAGCTGGAATGAAGAGAGGGGGGGAGGA